AGTACCGTAACAATGTAAATGTACTTCATTACTAAAAACATCTGTACCGCACCAAATTTTAGCTCAATTTCTGAAAAACTGTGTTTTTAAGTTTGCTGAGCTGTGGTCACCATCTTGAATTCAARCTTAATGTGCATCCAATAGATACTTTGAGAGTTTAATTGAAATTTGTTCAGCTTATGCAATATTTTGCTAACGCTGCAGACCATCACCTGCACATATGCGCACACAGGGCTAATAAACATCACTGCCTTTAGTGTGGGGTAATAAACGTGACACCAAATACTTTACGTCATTTATTTCTTAAATTTTTTATGCACTAAGAATATCGTTCTTAAACCAAGATCTAAAGCTACTTGTGCATGAGAGACTGTGTGTATGCACATGTGTGCGTGTATGTAAAGTAAAATTATACGTACAGGAGTCAAACTGAAGAGGACGAAACATTGTTTTTGTTGCAATAAGTGGGGAAAATGCCACTCAAAGACATAATGAGTGTTACAGATTTAAAGTGCTTTATGATTGTCACCTAAAGGGAAAAAAAAAACACAAATTCATCCACCGTGGAATTAAAACTAAACTGTTTATCTTTCACTGCCTCAGTGGTCTTTATGATAATTTAGTACGTTTCCTGCACCTGAAACTAAACTCTTATTATCTACGCCAATCTGCTGTTCGCAGTCCTCTCTTTAAGACAAGCATCCAGGATCTGTAAAGACAATCCTCCCTCTCAACAGCACCCCGGCGAGTTATYGCAGTCCTTCTATTCATGAAACAAACAATCCAGTTGGGTGCGGGGTGGGCTTGAAAATGACATAAATATTTATCATTTAATAAAAGGAGAAACAAAAACAAAAGAAACACAGGGAGGAAATGGAACAAAAGAAGCTGATGGCAGTCTTGGTGCCGGGCCAGCAAAGCACGCTGGGTAATTATAAACACAAAGGGAAAAATCTTGGACTCCATTCCGCACAATTGTCACAAATAATGGAACTAGAAGAAGCTAGAAAGGTGTTGATCCGCCGAAGAGAGATGCAATAAAACAAATAAATGGAGAGAAGGAACAAAAAAAAAAAAAACGAAGAAAAAATGAGAAGCGTGTGAAGAAAGAAAAAGAAAACAGCAATCTAAGAAATAACGGGCGAGGTGTTGACTTTATGAGTCGGGGCTCGCTGGACATATGTGCTGTGCTTTGTGCGTTTTGGCAGATTAGTCTGTCACTTGCCCAAAGCAGAAACTAATCCAAACAAAAGATCTGTCTGAATGGAGCTAAATAACCAGATGCTCTGACAATAAACCTCCAGCCAAATATTAAGCCTTGGTTTGGAAACCGGTGCTCACGGTTGCCCCTCCGCTCAACCCCCCGCCTCCCTCTGTAATTTCATTTTCACTCTCAATCTGTCCCTCATCTAAAAGTCCTCCTCTCCTCACTTTCTCTGCCTTCCCATCACTTTCTCTTACGTTTCATTAGGAAACATCAAAAGTCAGAGTGCTCCTCTTATGTTTATCCAAACAAACCATTACTGTAAACAAACAGTTACTGTAAATTTCCCAGAAGATCTTGTTAAMCGCAGAAATGGCTTCTCTCTGCTCTTCCGCAGCCCATAAGGTGTCACACTCAGCATTTGTGCGAGTGTGCGTGTGTGTAATATGAGACCGYCTTTGTAGTGGTTGAACCTGGGGTAAAGGGGGCCTATCCTTCCCATAAGGCTGTGGGTGGCGGTATGGAAAAAAAAAAACAAAACAAAAAAAAAAAAGGGGAAAAAAAGCACAGTGTGTATGTGTGTATGTATTGTGTGCCTGTGCTGTGTTTGTGTGTGTTTCCACTTGACTCTATCATTAACGGTGATTAAGCTTTACAGGTTTATAATGGCTGGTGGTAACCAAGCCACCTAACTGCAAACAGATGCTGGCAGTCGTAACCGAGTGTATACAAAGGTAAACAATGCTTAATGCTGGTGCTGTTTACCCACATGAGCAGGGAGAAAAAACGCAAGACTTCAAAGTAAAGAGTTTACTCGTTTCTTCTAGTAAATTCTGAAAAAAAAAAACCACACAAGGGCAATTTTTCATTTCTGTCGCACGGCCGTGCYGTGTGCTCCACATGTTAAACAAGTGTGTCCCAGGTTGATAGTGTATTCTGCACAGGCCTCTATAAGCCCCGTCATCTGTCTAAACACACTGATGTCGCTTTAACCTGTCGATAACGGAGGAGGCGGTGCACCTGATACGCCGGCGTGCGCGCAGGTCGTGTTTGCGTGCGTGCACACGGCCGTCCCGTCATCGATTGTCCAGCGTTTTGTCGTTTGCATTCAGGATAGTGATTTAGAGAGAAGACTATTGATTTGGCTTCAGCCTCTCATCTTATTCATCTCTCTATCATCCTGGTGTGCTTACTTTTGTCCGGCGACGCTCCGGTTGTTGACTGCTCTCCCTTGTTGCAAGGCGAGGTATGAGCACACGTACTTCTTTCTGCATGTACTGAGCAACCAAGTGAAGACGGTTTTAAATAAATTCAGTATAGGAATAAAATGACAGCTTCTGTTGGAAGCTGCTGAACATAACTTAAGTGTTTGAGTATGGTGTTGACCTGGAAGAGTAAAAACACAGCATTTATTTAGCTTACTTTAGTGTACTTAAATTTGAAATATTTGCTTAAGCACACTACTTTTAAAGTACAACTACAAAATAAATATTGACAAGGATTTATCTACCATTAGCAGCAAATTATTGTTTTTTTAGAGATGCACTGATATGAAAATTACAGCCGATGTCGATATCYGATATAATTATTGTTRTCATGGACGATAACCGATATTTACMGATATTACACARACACACAAATTATATTATACACATACACACAAACACATTTGGGTCTTTTTTTGATTCCATAAATAAACAACCAGACGTCTGACATGACTCCCTACTTCAGTTATTCCTGGTTACGCAGCATCAGTATCACTATCATGATCAAACAGATGCGCTCAACCTGTCATCTCTCCTCCCAAAACAGAAACACAAAATAAAAAGTGGGAAATCAATATCGGATGTTAATATCGGCTCAGTTTTACATATCGGACCGATACGATATTCTAAAAAATTGCCAATATTGGCCGATACCGATATCAGTACCGATATATCGTGCATCCCAAGTATTTTTGCTTATAATATTAGCACCTGACCTGCTTCCATCCAAAAACAGATGTAGCCATCTGAGGCAGTGAAAGTCCATCTGATTGGTCAAATATATCACTGACAGGTTGGCCATAAAAAACTGACACATGCAATATAACAGTCCAAACTTACTGCATCCAAAACAGTCCTTTGTGATGTTGATACTGCACAAACCGACATCAAGATAAATTATAAATATATTGCTAAACCCCGCTCATCCATGTAACMGACTGATTTTAACTAGTTTAAACGTGATCAAATATGGCAGATACATTTTTATTTATTCCAATATGAAAACATTTTTTCCTTATAAAACATAAAATATGTAAAGCAAATCAGCTCCACTACTTTGTTTAGCTCTACACTGCTGCACATGTAACAGAGCTGTAACTGAGAAGTTATTAAGCAACAACTTCATTAATTATCAACATCAGTGTTGTGACTGTTACTGCCTAACTAAAGTAATATTAAAAAAGGAGAAAAATGTATTAAAAAGAGTAAGAATTTTTTGAAGGAGAATTTAAACTTGTTTGTGTCTACAGTGTGAGTGCGACTGAAGAGGCTGCAGACTGGATGACCGGCTGTGTTTTCCAGGAAACGCTTCCAGATTCTTACTGAGAGGCACAAMTAAGTGACTTTTATGTTTTGGCTGTTTGAATGCTCTTAACCAGATGTTCTGATTCGACATTTTATGTGTAGGAAACGGCATTGCTTCTGTGTTTTGCTTTGGTTTTAGCGACTTTCCAAAGGAAACAGCCAGGTGGCGGATGTGACGTCACATCCTGGTTTTAATCAACCTGATTCACCGGAGCCACAACTTCTCAGGCTGGAATGATGTGGTATCACAGATGTGTTCCTATAACTATTGTGAATCACGCCTTACAATTGTTTTCAAACATTTGGCACAAACCTGTGCTTTCTTTTATTTTATTTTTATTTTATTTTTTGTATTTTAATGGAATGAGCCGACTCACCCAGTCCAGGATTGTGGTCACCGTTCTCCCCGTTTGGACCTCCGTGCTGCTGGCTGTTGTGGTAACCCGCCATCGCCTCCAGCTTGATCTTTTTGGCCAGGGCAGAGAGATCTGTGAGAGAAAATTATAGAGAGGAGGGGGTGAAGGTGAAGGGGAAGAGGGAGGAAAGGAAGAGGAATCAATAAGAGCCAGATCAATGGCCCCTGGTGGAGGATTAGAGCAGTCGGTGGGCAGGAGGTTGTCATGGGAAGACAGAGGCCGGCCATTCATCCTGACTGCACCGCTGCACTGGCCATTTAGTCTGCCAGAGAATCAGCGGTGATAGGAACAGGCCAAGACATTCATCTCACCCACACAGCGATATCACATCCCACAGCACAGCACAGTGCACAGGATGACACCCAAACAGCAGTGGGAGCTCCACCTTTAAACCACAAAAGCCTTTCTTTAGAAAAGCATTCAAAGCATGGCGCACCAAGTGGAGCTTTGTTTTAATAGAGGTTGTGCACTTTGGAACAATACGTAATGGACAGTGACAAAATGTGGCAGGAGGGCCTGAGACACATTTTAATTTGCGCCTTGAACTTCAGAGCGTCGTCTGACCYGCAGCGCGGCCCTGAAAATAGAAAATTAAATATGCCTTACACTAATACAGACAAACACGGCGAATTATTAAAGTTCGGATGAACCGYGCAACTGTGCAAACACGACGGAGGAAATACAAACAATCGCTAAGTTTTAATTTCCTGATCTTCGATTCATCCAAACATTTGCGACTAACTTATCCAATGAGAGCGCTGCTTTTATTTCCCTCAGACAATGGGCGTCTGAGGCGAGCGATTTGTCTGCCTGAGACGTCGACAAGCACAACAAATTGTTCCTTCTCTTCCCCTTCTCCTCTTCCCCTCTTTCCTTCCTTACTTTACCTTTTCAAATGTCAGCGTCGCAGCGGGACATAAGCCACCGCGTCGCATGTGTGCGCCTGTGTGAGCGAACACGACTAAGGAGGATCACATCAAAGATCTTTCCTGCCTTTTACGCTCAAATGTCCTCGCTCTCCCTGTCTCCTTCTTCCTCTCTCATGTGGCCAGTTCTAATCAGCGGCGCTGACATTGCCGCCGTGCCCTCTCCTTTGGTGGAAAATACTCTTTTCCCACTTAGAAGGGTGCTCTTGAGCACTCGCAGACACAACACTCACACAGACACACACGCACACACTTGAGCACCTTTGAACAGCGAGAGGAAGAGGAGGCTAATAGAAAATGGCTTCTTTTGAGGCAGGGAATGAAAAGATCAGGTTTCAGTGAGGAGCACAAAGCCAAGGGCAACTTTGAGAGCGGTGAGGTGCCAACAATTACTTTTCTCCCTTTCTCTGTGCTTCACACACACACAAATACACACACACGAATTACAATAGACAATCACAGCTGGTTGCGACAAAGCAAACAGGCTTATTGGCTTTAGTAAGCGTCCGACTTACTGCTTGAAAGACAAAACTTGACAATAAAAACATTCTGAAATAAAGATTCTGATCCGGATAATTAAGAAAATCACAAGTCAATTAAAGGAGAAAATTAACTTCCAAACTGTTTTTTGTTTGCAGGAAAAATGAATGTTAGAACAGGGATGGCGGGTGACCTTAGAACCTGAGTTGCTGCTTTAAGAGGACTATTTTAAATTAAATAATAATAATAATAATAATAATACATTTTTTTTGTTTTATTTTGGGAGGTAAGCTATTTTAGGTAGGCAAACCTAGTGTTTAGTCTGCTTAGAGACGTCTGCCACGAAGGATTTTAATATAAATTTAATAGAAGCTGCCACAACAACTCGTTGCACAAAGCTAAATATGAGACGTTTACTGACGTTGCAAGTACATAAACAACAGCAACTTTTTACCAAAACCACACAGGAGTCTGCGCACAAGGAATCTTACAACTCATATACTGTACATGCATTTGAGCATGAACTATTTAACTGCACTGTATGTTGGTTGAATAAATACACATATACATAATCATTTTTAAAAAGGCAGTTTCATTACTTTTGGGTAAGTGTGCAACGTTGTGTGGACCTCTGGTGTTGTCGACAAAAGAATTGCGGCTCCTTCCATCACTGAAGTTGCCCGTCCCTGAGTTAGAAGATTAGGTTTTAAAGGTTTTACAGTCACCAACTAAACATGTTCATCATCATACTTCAGAGGGCTACTGATCAGAACGCTTACTCAACTTAACAGAGAACTTTGTGTAATTTTAAATCAAGGCGGAGAACAAGCTTGTTTCTCATGTGTCAGCAGCATGTATGCTAATTTTATTAATAAACACAGTAGTAAACCTCCCAGAACTTTACCTCTGCTTTCGACTGATGATAGGTAAAAATGTGCCATTATTGTGGAGGGGATGGGGGGATTGGAGGAGCTGTACAATAAGCAGTAAAAAAAAAAACAAGCTCATATCTGTTCTGCAAAAGAAAGATGTACGTGCTTCAAACAACTCCGCTAGTTGCAACATTGTTTCCGTCACGCTCTGACAGCTAAAACGAGAACTAATTTTGAACTTTCTGCAACTCTGAAGCAATATTTAAATCTTTTAAACAGCTCACGGAGACAGAAGGAGGATTTCTGCTRTAAATTATCTACAGCTCTGTGGAATTACAAGGCTTGATGCGGGGAACGATTTTTGTGCAAAAAAAAGGATTTCAAGGCTTCTAAAGTTTCTTAAGTAGTTTTATCACTCTTTTCAAGACAAACTCATAGATAAAAAAATGATGTTTTTAATATTTAATAAAGCATTGAAGTCTGTTAATAGTGACAAAAATTTGAATTTCTGTCATCCACAATATGACAACTGTTAGAATTACTTGATGGTGCCCAATAAATTAAAAAAAATGTTCGCTTTGTTCTTAATTTTTCTAAATCAAAATGTATCTCTCACTGAGTGCAGCTGCATTCCTCGTTCTTGTTCTCCTAATGACAGTTTTATCTCCCTAAAACGCTGTGTGGTTACACAAAAAGCTCGAGCGTTCCACTGACAGATTCATCATCTCGAAGGGAAGTTTGACAACAGATGTGGGTTGAATCTGTAATTGTCACACTTTGTCCTATTTTGACACATAAAGTAAAACAAAATCAAACAGAAACCAAAGCAAAAACTTCCCCTACTACAAAATAAACACTTTGCTCTTGTGGTTTTTCTTTTTTTTTTTCCTTTTTTTTAACACTTTTTGGCAAAATACCAACTTAAAATTCTCCATGCGATGCCATGCATTTTACGATATCGTTCCTACAGCTCATGTATGTAACGTGCTTGACGAGGCCTGGGTGGTCACCTGCGGGAGGCATGATCCCAGCGTGCATCAGACCGCTGTGAGACAGCATGTGGTGCGTCCCGCCCTCTGTCGCACTCTGCAGCCTCTTGGGCGGTCGTCCGGGCCTCGAGCTGCGGGGGCAGAAAAACACGGGCTGAAGTTAGTCATTAAGCCTGTCTTACATGCTGAGACTGAGATGGGTGGCCTGGTTAGCCCAAGTGTCCTTCAGTCTGTAAAGCTCTAATCCTGCTGAAGTGTCAACAAGCAAAAAACACTGAAACATGACCACTTCCAGGAAGGCTGCTGTAGCAGATCTGACCTCCCTGTGGATACGAGCAAGCAGAAAAGGAGTTTCCCTATGGCATCCATAAAGCACCTCATTACTGTTCAGCTTACTCATTTATTTGTTTGCTTATTAAAAGCGTGCGCTCGCCTCCTTTGCCTTCAATCCTCTCCACACTCGGCCCTTCATTTCCCTTTTCCCACCGTGTCACAAATTTCCTCAATAAAGGTCGAAACTACAAGCACACGCGTGATTTCTCACTTGCGCGTGCGTGTGAACCAGGCATGCTAAATCAATCCTTGGGAGGAAGTATGTGAAAAGCTGTCAGACATCACTTCAGTTCTGACTAAACGGTGTGAATGTCCTGACAGTGGAAATGACACGGGCCACATCAGGCTTAATGACAACCAGCGTACCTCATCTCTTTTGATAGCAGCTTGACATAACACGAGTCTGTGGGCAAGTGTGTGTCTGTGCGCGTGTGTGTGTGTGTGAGAGATATTAAAAGACAGCGAGTTGGGAGAGTGGGAGGGGAACGAGAAGAAGGTGTGACAGCATGCAAAAAAATGCAATAATGTAAAAGAAGGAAAAAAGAGAAGGATGAAGAGGAGTAAAGCGAGAGGAAAGGATGAAGAGGGACTTATAAACAGAGAGTGGGGGAAAAAATGAGAAAAAAATAGGAAAGTATAGAGATAGACTAGAAGCAGCAGCTTCCTAGCGTGGGGTGTCTTTGAGCAGATTTTAATTAGAATCTAATCCAGCCGTCATTAAGGCCCCATAAACGAAGCTGTCAGTCAGGAGATTAATGGCGCCTCATTTGCATGTTGCATATAATTCATCAATTACCCAGCAGAAAGGACCAATCCCCTGTTGACACACCCACTGGCTGAGAGGGGGTAGATGAAGAGACACACACAAAAAAAAAAGACAGAGAAAGAATGTGGAGCCACAAACTGTGGGAGAAAAACAGGTAGCTCGAGAGAGTGTGTGCACGCGCGAGCGTGTGTGTGTGATCGCGTGCGTGTGTGTGGAGTGTTCAAAGGTTAATTTGATGAGCCGATGAGCTCCACAGTTCCTGCCCTCGGTTTTAATGAGTTGTTATTATTGTCTCTTATTATAGGCCCAGACCGACTGGGATGTGACAGCTGACATCAGATATCTCACACACAGGAGCTGCACACAGTGAGACACACAGATGCATGTAAATAGTTGCGGGGGGGGGGGGGCCTTAAAAAACACTCAGGTAGATAAATGTACACACATATCTCACATTTGCAGGCAAAACAGAGGGAAGGGGCAAGAAGATGAAAGTTTTGAAAGTCTGCGTTGTTGTCGACACTCTGCACAGAGCGGCACGCCGAGCCTGACAAAAGCAGGAAATGTATTTTTAGGTTTTGAGTTGGAAGGTAAAGCAACTCTGGTGCAATGCAACTTGTGTTGTAAACCCCGCCGATTGCTCACACAAAAACACACACAGAAGTGAACATCGGGTGGGGGGGAGATAAAACACAGAAACCAAAGAGTGCGTTTTTTTTTTTACTGCAGCCGCTTCCCTTTCCCTTACTACTGTTTATTTGCGCTCACTAATTAATGGCCTCTGTGTGTGCTGGTGGGTGGGAGCGTTGTCTGCGCCGTTGTGTACGTTACATTTTAAGGGGCATAAAGAACTGGAACCTAATTTTGTGTTTAGTCTGCAAGTGCGTTGATACATCAAAGTGACCCACGGAGGGAGGTCTTTGTGTGTGTTGCGCTTTGTAAGTGTGTGTGTGTGTGTGTGTGTGTGTGTGTGTGTGTGTGTGTGTGTGTGTGTGTG